CTCTCCAAAACAAACCCAGATCTAGGTTTTTCTCAAACCCAGATCTGGGTTTGTCTCAAGCCCTGATCTGGGTTTGTTTGAAGCCCACCCTTTAGCCCCCCTCAATCACCTAGCAGAATTCGTAAAAATCACCAAGACATGAAGGAAGAGGCGACGTACGACGAGGTGCTGCGGATGATGGCAGAAGAGCATGATGGTTGGTAACTCTGTTGAGAAGAGATTGTCAGATACCGAGCGAGATACCGGTTGCATCAGTGTGTCCTCCGCCTCCAAAGAAGAAGCCGTTTTTGTTCAGGAAGAAGAGGGAGCCACCGAAGGACAGACATTTCCAGCCACCTGATTTGGAGTTGTTCTTCTCAATCAACCAGGTTCCTTGCAACATTGCCAGCAACATCAATACTGAATTTGGTGCTCGACATTGATCTTCAGTTAGCTAATTACCAACCCTGAAATTAGCATTCCTTAAGGTTTTTAATCTGCGGATTGACTCTTTTTGGGATAAGGTCTCAACAAGAATTAATGTGCATATTTACATTGATCTTTTTGTTTTTTTGTGTGCATATATTAGTATGGAAGAAGCTCTGATGTTATATAATATTACTATTAATGGCCAATGTATGTATGTATTTTGGCTCTGTGGATTTATGGGATGAACTTTTTAGCATATGATAAGGTTAAAACAAACCCAGATCTAGGTTTGAGAAAAACCCAAATCTGGATTTTGATTTGGAGAGGAAGAATAAATGAGAAGAGAGAGAGAAAGAATAAGAAAGAAGAAGGATGAGGAGGGAAAGGAAGGAGGAAGGTTGGTTGAGGAAGGTGATTGAGGGGGGATTTGAGGGCCAAAGGGTGGGCTTGAGACAAACCCATATCTGGGTTTGAGAGAAGAAGCAGGGAGAGAGAGAGAGAAAGAATAAGAAGAAGAAAGAAGAAGGATGAGCATGAAGGAGGTAAGGAGGAAGAAGATGAAGTGGATCTAGGTTTGCAGAGGTAAGGGAAAAGGAAAGGTAAAGGAGAGAGAAAGCGAAAGAGAAAGAAGAGATGACGATGGATGAAAAAAAAATCATTATTTTTAAATTAAATAAAAATGTCAACTCATACAAAAGATGACCAATTATATTTTGTTTTTTTTTTCCATGTCATTAGTTAAGCAAAAAAAAGATTGATTTGCTAGCATTTTAACGTGCCACCTGTCATTTAACTGACGGAAAGATCATTTTGGTACAAAAAATGAAAGTCTGAGAATAATTTTGGTACTTTTTAAAGCTGAGGGATAATTTTAATGCCAAAATAAAAAGTTGAGGGACCAAAATGGTACTTAAACCAAATGACATCCATGTTGGGTGTTTATACGTCCATATCACCGCCAAGTAAGCAATGGGGCTCACATAAATTGAGCTTGCTGTTAGTTTTCACGGAATGATGACATCATCGGCCAAATCACGGAATGATTAGTAAACTCTCTAATTTTTTGACACATTGTTTTTACACTTACTTAATTTAATCATTAAAATATTATATATATATAATTCATGCAACTAGTTTTTACGTGTTATATGTATGATTGTATTTTTAAATTTATTTATTATTAATTTCAAATCAAAAAATAATAATTTTTTAATAAATGTATCATACAGTATATTGAATTATAATATGTACTTATCATTATCTATTAGTCTAATAAGACTAATGTCATGGAAACAACTTTTGTATATAATTTTTATATATTATTAAATAACTGAATACAT